CAAGCTCCTTTGAATATCAAATTTCTCAGTAGAACCTTTGTAGGCTACAACGGAACTATGTATGTTCAAAATGCTACAAGAAAAACACCACCAACTAAAAACACTGCATCCAGCTAAAGTGTCCACAAAGACTGAGGAGACAGAGAGCCTTCCAGGAATGACTGGAAGGAGTTTATCACCAGACCTGCCCTTTAAGAACTGCTGAAAGAGACCATCAAATTGAAACAAAAGGGTGATAAATGGAGAAAGAAAAACATATTAAAGTTTACAGATCACTTTTAACTCCAGCAGAGAATCTTCTTAAAAGCATAAAAAGATTCTACATCTTTAATAAGGGATGCACAATACAGAAAGACATCATTTGTGTTATGAATAATGTAAGGGGGTATGTGAGACAGAAATGTAATGGTGTAGAGGTTTTAAATGTGATTAATTCAAACTTTTTCATTTAAAATTATGTGAAAGTGACAACGTGCTCTATATAATGAAATAACCACAATGGTGGCTATACAACATACACAAGGAAAAATGACAAGACGATGAAAAGTAGCCACTTCACAAAACCAAGGAAATACAAAGAAGACAGCAAAAATATAAGAGGGATGCAATCAAAGCAAAAGACATACAACAGTTAAAAAAAGAACAACAGTAAGTCCTTTTCTATGACTAATTAGATATAAACACCCTAATTAAAAGAAAAAGACTGGCTGAAAGAAGAAACACATAAGATATAACTATACTCTAAACAACAGTTTTAGTTTATTTCTGAAGGCACACACAGGCTAAAAGGGAAAGACCCAAAGATACTCCATGCAAACCGAAACCTACAGAGTGCAGAGGTAGCTACTCTTATATTTTTAAAACACAGCTTTTAAAAACTGTCACACGCGATCAAAGGATAAAAGATGACTTTCCATAATTACTAAAGGACAGCTCCCCAGGACATACGATAATTACAAGCATAAACCCAACATCAGTCCTCTCCAATGTATGAAGCAAATGCTGAGAGAATTAGCACAATACCTGGGGGACACTCTATGCTCCATATGACTTATGGAAAAAATAATCAGAGGACCAAGAAATATACAGAGGGCTTCAACAACAGCACATAGCATATGTACCTCACAGACCTGTATAGAACATTCTACCCAACAATAGCAGAAACTCCTACCTCTAACACACACAGGGAACATCTACACAACAGATAAGAGGTTAGGTCACAAAAACCTCAAAAACTTTGGTATTCAATTTTTTTTTCTCTGTTCCAAATGGAATAAATGTAGAAATCAATACCAGAAGAGAAATGAAAATTTGCAAATATGTTGCACTGAACTCATTCATAATTAGAGTCAAATAAGGCAAGCAGAACTTAGAAAACATCTAGAGACAAAGACAGAAAAGCACAGTATACAAAGCTCACGGATGCAATCAAAGCAGTAAAGGGAAAGAGTCTGTAAAAGCTTCTGTTCAAATATAAAAATTAACTCAAACACAACCTAACTTTGCATTTCAGCAAAAAAGCACAAACCAAAAACAACAGACACAGGAAAAAGGAAATAATGAACACTGCAGCAGAAATAAATGAAAGCACAGAATCTAAATAAACTTTTTACAAATATCAACAAAAATGGCAAATGCTTAGACAGAAAAACTTTGAAAAAAGACCCAAATACATATAAGCAGGTATATTTCAACTCATATCATGGAAGAAAAGAGAAAAATAAGTAGCTACAAAATCATGTATGTAACAGGCATGAGATAACCTGGAAGAAAAGGATAAATCATTAGAAATATACAAATTTCCTTGATGAAATCAGGGAGATTTTTAAACATCTGAACATATATACATAAGTAGTAAGGGAAATGAAGCAATAACCAATAACCTCCCTGCAAAGACACAAGGACAGAGGGCTTCGTCACTCCATTCTGCCCTACACTTAAATTAGGACTAACATCAATTCTCCTCAAATTCTTCTAATAATCTGAAGAAAAGGAAACATTAAAAGCATTCTAAACCAGGCATGGGGTCACACCCCTATAATCCCAATACTCAGAAGGCTGAGGCAGGAGAAGTACAAGTTAAGTTCAAAACCAGCCCAAGTCATTTATCTCGAAAACTTCAAAAAGGTCTGGGGAGTATAACAGTGCAGAGTACTTGACAAGCAGGATCGAGGCCCCACACTTAAGAACAGATCATTCTGTGAGACCATCACTATTCTGATACCAACACAGGAAAAGAGGCCAGTGATTGCAAACCTTGAGAGCTTTCAATAACAAACAGCCTGCTGTAGCATGTGCCACAGCTTTGCCAGCACTGGACAGACCAGTAGCCCTGAGGAACATTGAAAAATTCTTCAAAGCAATAACTAGGGAACCAGAATTTACAGTCTATTCAGAGGACACACACCCTGACAGGCAGGATTCGATTCTAGAAGACAAAGCTAGACCAACTGAACAAAGTCAATCCCTGCAATGCACAACACTGACATAGAAGAAGCTAAAAGGTGGATTCCCTCACCGTATCCATCGGTTCAGAAAATGTGCTAGACAAAATTAACTGCTTGTCGTGGCAAAAACACACAAACTACAGACAAAAGGGAAGTCCAGTATATTGGAGATGGTAATGGCTTCTTGTATATGACACAAAAATACAAGTGAGAAAGGCAAAATCAGACCAATGGAACTATATCTGATTGGAAAATGGAACTGAAGAATTTTATTGAGTGAAAAAGCTGAAAAGAAAACTAACAGAAATTTGAAAAGAAAAAATAGAGTGTTCTCACAAACTACATATAAATCTTGTATGATATATATTATCTTCTGCTTTTACTTTAAACCCAGGGGCTGGTGATGTAGCTCAGTCACTGTTTGCCTACCACACATGAGGCCCTGACTTTGATCTCTAGGCAGCATTGAAATAAAGTAATATAACATCCAATAAATAAATAAAATGAACGAAAAGCATGTGCACAAACATGCAAACAAAAGAGATATAAACAAATTATTAAACAATGAAACATTAGATGCAGCCAGGTATGGTAGTGCCTACCTGCAATCTCAGGGCTTTGAGAGGCTGGGGCCTCTCAAAGTTTAGGTTCAGCCCGAATAATTCAAAGAATTAGCAAGAATCTCTCTCATAAAAATATTTTTAAATTAAATTTAAACATGAAAAAATAAACAGTAAAACACAAAATCTAAGAGAAATATAGTACTTCATAATCTTGTACTAAGAGAAATTCTACATGAAGAAGCAAGCTAAACAGCCAGGCACAGTGGATCATACCTACAATCTCAGCTACTTGAAGGCTGAGATAAAATGGTTACAAGTTAGAGGTGTAAGCAACTCACACCCTGTCTCCACCACTGAGCATACAGGTTAGTGAAATGGCCCGGGTTCAATATCTAGTACTGCAGAAAAAGAAAAAGTAAAGTAGAACATAAAAAAAATAAAACTTCAGAAAAGATAATATTGGCACACACTTATAATCCCAGCACTCTGGGAAGCTGAGGCCGGAGGATTCCAATTCTGATCCTAGCTTGAGCAACTTGGTGAGACCTTGTCTCAAAATTCAGAAAAATCAAAAAAAGGACAAGAGGGAGCCATTTACTATAAAGGCCTCGGGTCCAATCCCCAGGGGAGACAAAAAAAAGGAGGGACGGAGGGAACAAGAAGGTATATGTAAGTAAGTATATACTACAGATTATAAATAGGTCCTAAACTACAAATTCTCTTTTTATATACATATCCACAAACCATGAAACCTACTTGGAATCACAAGGAACTGGCATACAAACAGTCTAGTTTTGAGGTTGTAAAACATAAAGGAACTTAGTGACGAGTTTTACTTGATAAGGAATGATTATCCATAGGAGAGAACATCTTTGCAAATGGAGGTAATGAATGACTTTCATAAAACTGCTGAGTTCACAGGCAGTTCACTTCTCTTTGTAGTAGAGAAAAAGGAAGAAACACAGGTCTTCATTCCTAGAATACTTCAATACGAATGCAAAAGAGTAAGTGGTCTCTGTTCCTCCTCATTCACTGAAGAATCTTCTCTAAAGCCCTACAGTGATACGCAAACACAAGTGTCCCACACATGATCAGACTTCTGCCACAGACCACAAAATTGACAGCAGTGCCTCCTGCTCATGTGTGACAGAGGGAGAAGATGAGGAAAGGACAAGGTTTACACCTTGGTGCCCAAGACTGGTGACGGTCTATGGCTTCACTGTAAGAGAAACGTTTACATCACATGTTGCTATGTTTCTTGTTGAGTATTTAATACTAACTGCTGAGTTGAGAATATGGTTCCATCCCCTCTGATGCCAAAAAAGTTCTGCTATGATATCGAAGTGAAAATATGATCATTTTCCCCCTAAATACTTGTTGCTTAAGAGCCCTGCAAGGACATCACTATCTCCCACAGATGGAAGTGGTGAAAACAGTTTAAAAGAGTGCCTGGCTGCTAGACACAGAGGCAATCACATATTTAAAACTGGCACAATTAAACATCCCTCATTGCTGTGTCTAACTTTCCATTCCATTTCTAATCACTGAGATTTTCAGTCAAAAACACTAACTTGATTACGTGTAAATGTAGTATATAGTGTCAGGCAGAACACATTTTTCCCATACGTCTTCTTTTCCAGAACTTAGAAAGATATTTGTTTATATTAATAAGTGATTTCCATGAACAGCTTCTACATCCAGATGTGCCCTAAACAATCCTGCTGCCCACAAAACTGACATATGGGGTCCACATCTGTCTCTAGTCCCTGCCTGGCAGGAAGCCCTACCCAGGACCATGATTAATACAGCCTCCTCACATGATACCTGTCACTGGTTACCGTGAGTCCTAGGGAATGTGAGGAGGGCCCAGGGCAGCCCAGGGGAGACTCAGAGAGTATGCCAGGTGACAGAATCCGAAGATGCAGCGCCCATGCAAAGCACTTCAGGAAGGAAGGCAATGTGGAACATGCAAATAACAACATCACTTTACCCAAGTAAGAGCCATGTCCGACTCCTTTTCTTCCTGCCTCCTCCTCTTCCCAGCTCCTTCCGCAGGTAACATGAGTTTTGGGGAGTGAAACCTGAATGTTGAAAACACACTGGTGAATGCTCAGAACAGACACACGTTCTTCCTATATCATAGCCTGCACACAAGGAGTACCAGCCATGAGGAAAGACCATCTTCTGCTGCCCACTGCACAGGGAGGGGGCAGGAGGGATAGGTAGGGGCCGGGGACCAAAGAGGTAGGGACAGAGACTCCTAAAGGAAGACCAACAGAAGACTTCCTGACACTTCTTGTGAGCTCTCTCTCTCTCTCTCTCTCTCTCTCTCTCTCTCTCTCTCTCTCTCTCCCTGGGGCTTTACGAGGGAACACACCAAGGCCTATTTAGAGCCAAACACAGCACACTCCCTTCACTTCTCCATGGATCACAAGTTGATCTTGGCCTTGATAGACACAAGACAGTCTAGGTGCCCAAGGTTGTGCACCAAATACAATCAACTTTAATAATATGAAGACTGGGTCTCAGGCTGATGATGGGAAAGGGAGAATTAGCTACAAAACACCTCAGTCTGCCAATGGAAGCCAGAGTTGAGCAAGTCCAACTCCCCTCCCAGCTTCTGACTCAGCTCTCCCTTTGCAACCCTGTGGTCCCCAGAATCCACACTGTGGACTGGGGAGATCAGAAATTGCAGAGCAGGCAACACAGACCAGAGGAGGAGATAGGGGATGGTTAGGATATTAGTGGAAGCTACAGAATTCTCCATGGAATCACTGATATTAGACCATAGACATGGGAAAGTATTTATCACCTGCAGGTGAGGGGCCAATGAGTTCAGGCAGAGACAGAACCAAGGGAAAGCCCTGAGGCAGGGGCTATAGCAGTAGCAGGAAAAGGCAGGAGGCCTGTGTGGCTGGACCAGAGTGGGCAGAAGGATACTGCAGGAGATGACCACAGGAGGACTTCCAGAAGCAGATCAAAATGGGCCAAAACTGTCAAAAATTTTCTATCCCTCAAAGGAATTTTAAAACAAGCTTCCTTGCCTGATACAAGGAAATACGTAATTTTTCTTTATTTTATAAATGAAACAATCTTTTATCTTCTGTATTATAAATAGTACAGGCAGAGGGATGGACATGTAGTTCAGTGATAGAGCACTTGCCTAGTATGCATGAGGCTGTGGGTTCAATGCCTACACCACGTAACGAAAACAACATAATTCAATAATTAATTAACTAACTAACTGATCTAAATAAATATAGGCAGAGATACTGAGCTAAACTCAAGGCAGTACAAAGTCACCCAAACTGTGACACTGAGGATTGCAAAGGGTCTATGTACCTATTCATCTGCATCCTTTTAACAACAGGTAAATGTCAGTGAACGCTGGGAGACAATCTGACAAATTAACCTGAGCAGTTGAGTCAGAAGAATCCCGTTTTTATAGCCAGTGGATGGCAGTTTAAATGCAAATCTGAAGTGAAGGCAATGTGGGTCTAAGGCCTCACCCTGTGGGATCAGACGCCATTTCCAGGGAGTGAGTGCCAGACATAAATTAATTTATAGAACACCACGTTGGGGTCTTAGGGACAAGTGCCTCCTTAATCATCAAATCCTAACACAAATCCTAACAATTTCTTTTTCTTTCCTAACATAATTTCTTAACTAGAAGTGAAGACTGCGCTGTGTTCACTATCAAGCGTGACTAGGAAAACCACTCTTGGTTTCCTTTATCCCACACACTTCCCAAACCACAATCCATCCCAGGAAAACAGGGTAACCCACAGGTAAAATGAGTCAGAACTCCACCTTCACACTGAGTAGTGACCACAAAGGGAAAGGTATCCTCTAGGTCCCAAAATTGCACAATATACAGAGCTTATAGGCAGAATCACAAGTCTTACCCTTGTCCATATGATTTAAACAAATTTTAAATCCACTGAATTATCAACAGTGAATTATCAACACAGAAATCAATATAGCACATTTTAAGGATGCGTACCTAATTGACCATCCTGGTCTGGACGCAGGGTCCACTCCTCCTCCCGGCTTTTCTCCCTTCCTGTTTTTCTCTGTCACTCTGTACAGTCTCACTGTAACCTCTCTCCAGCTCTTCTTTTCTCTTCCCTCCACCACCATTTATGGCCACTGTTTCTCACTCTCCATTGATTTCCTCCCTAAGGTACTGCCCCTATACCTATTCTGCCTCATTCTTGTACTCGGTTCACCTCTGGGTCCCTGTCAACTTAGTCGTTTGATTATCCCCAATTTTCACCTATTTCTGCCTCTTTCTTCCCCCATGGATGCTCTTCCTCCCCCTGCCTGGTGCAGCCCCTGGGTCCTGCTCTCTGAACCTCACAGTCCTAGGCGTCCTTCCTTTGCTCCCCTTGTCACCCGCCACCTTCTCCTCTTGTCCCAACACCACGCTGCTGTTTGCCAAGGGCTCTCTTCCTATTTCACTATTTTTCATTTCTCTGGAGACACAGATCTTTAAATGTCTCTATTTGGTTTTCTTCTCTGCTACCATCTTAGCTGCTTCTTTCATTCTCATCACTTCTGCCAATTCCTCACCCATCCACTACTTTGCCATGTTTACAGGTCTATCTCTCCCACCCCTCACTGGGAGGGCATGGATGAGAAGCCGCCTCTGGAGGAGCATAGCTAACCCTGGGACACAAGAATCCTGAAGTCACAGGCCAGGTCCAGGTCACCTTCCCCTGGCCTGGCGGGGAGGTTAGAGGGGGAGGCCTGGGAGGCAACCCGGCCCGGGAGGCGCGGACGAGCCCGGGTTCCCTCGTGGTGAGGACGCCGCCGGCCGCGGAGAGGGCAGCAGGCGAGGCGGTCGCGGGTGGAGGCGTCAGCGGCCCGGGTTGGACTGGCAGGACCGGCCTCAAGCGCCTCCGCCCCGCAGGGCCAAGCGACCTTCACAGCGCCGTCCGAATTTACTGGGGCGCAGGGGGCGGGGCAGGGCCTTGACGTTCCCCAGACACTCACAACCTGACAAGGAGGCGCTGGGGACAGCGGAGCGCAGACAACCTAAAGAGAGGGAAACTCACACGGGCCGCTGCGACCTTCACTTCAAGAATGCACTTCCGGATCTGCAGGAAACCGCGCACAGCAGGGAAGGCGAGGGGGCGGGGCCCTGCCAGGATGTGAGTGGGCGGGATAGGGGCGGGGATGGGGGCCGGGATAGGGGCGGGCAGGGAGGAAAGTGTGAAAGGATTGTCCCGGCGGACGAGTGGGAGCGGGGCTACGCGGCAGCAAGACCCGAGATGGGCGGGGCTGGGGGCGGAAGCCACATCTCCATTGCCTAGTCCTTGGGCGTCCCCAGGAGTTGCTGTGACAACAACTTGATCTGGAAACCAAGATAGCGTGGGACTGGGGCCATCAATGTAGGATGATAATTATACCTATGAAAGTTCCTACTATTAAAGTGAATTTCAGCCCTTCAATAAATATCTCGCTATTGCTTTTGAAGGAGATGCAAACTAGACCGCGAAATGCAGACCAGTCTCTGCTGAAGGTGCACATTCATGCTGATGTCCAAGAACACAGAACAAGCATTCTTCCCGTTTCTATTCACTTTCTCTTTGAGGGAGGACGGCTGGAGTGTTGGCATGAGGGCACCAGGGGTTCTGATAAAGATAGGTCACCGACAGTTGCTTTAAGAAAATAGGAGAGAAGTTATATTTAAATTTAAAAGTAGATTTTTTTTTTGAGGCAAGGTCTCACTAAATCACTAAATTGCCAGGCTGAGCGTAAACTTGGCACCCTGTCAGAGTGCTGGGATTACAGTTATAAGTCAAAATGCCCCATTTGGATGTATTTTTCTGTAAAGAATATCTTGAGATATTTCTAAAGATATATGGCAAGCACATTGTTCTCTTTTATGTGAACTCGGAAAACAGTAAAACCATGTCATCATTTTAAATAGCCATTTCTACTGCCATAAACTTTATGGCAATAAATGAGGAAACATCTATTGTGAAATCTGTTTTTCTCACACCTTTATTTGTGAAGAAGTTTCATTCATTGGGAATGGTAACCAGTTGAAACATGATAATGTTTAGATAGGAAATTGGCACCTATAAAATATATTTAGTTGAAAATAAGCAGAAGGACTTGGGATTTAGCTCAGTGGCATAAGCACTTGCCTGGTAAGTGTGAAGCTGTGAATTTGATCCGCGGTACCAAAAATAAAATAAAATAAGCAGAACATCCAGCAGGTCACGCAGGTGAATACAAGAATCTATCTCAGCATAACTTTCTTTTCCTCCTTGCTCCCTTGTGTCCTGTTTTCTTTCGTCCTCCTTTCCCTTCATTTTTCTTCCTTCTTCCCTTCGCAGTGGTGCTGTGGATCAAACTCAGGACATTAGGCCTGGCAGCAAATGCTTTGACCCTGAGCTGTGAGCCCAGTCTTATCAGCATGTACTTCTGTACATGGAATCAACTGGGCCTCTTTCACTACAGTAGATAAAAGGTAATTCTAGTTAAGAGCCACGGATCTAGTCTGTGTATGGGGAGTTTTATTGCTTCTAAATTTTTCAATGGAGAGACACATATATATAGTCACAAGAAATGAAAAAAAGATATTCTTCTGTCACACAGAGATTTTGATACTTTCTTCCGGGTGATATCATCATAAAAGCTGAAAATTACTAAAGATTCAAAATTTTATATTTAACACCAGTAACTATTTCTACATATTGACTGTTGAGGATCTATTATAACCTATGATGAAACAGACAACATATATAGTACATATGTGAATACAGATAACAATGAAAATATTTACTACTGAAAAAAATTTTTAAGAAAAAGAAAGGGACAAAAATACCACTGAAACAGAACAAATTCAGGATAGGAGAGATTTTATTCAAAATTTAATGGTAATAGGATAAATCCTCCAACCACAAGTTCTGCAAATGTCCAAGAGTTACTCAGAGTTATCTGTTCTTCTATTTGGAGAGGGAAAATGCTAGAAAGTACCATAGGTGAGTGTTGGGCGCAGGCGCTCAACATACCATACCCCACCCGGGACTAAGGACCACGCCAGCTTCCGCAATGCACTACGTCCCTCTTTAAATTAGCCAACCCGTGCGCACTTCGTGCTCTCTCCGTACTCTGCGGCAACTCCTGATTGGCCACAGCTGGATATAGTAGCCAGAGCCTGCGTCCCATTCCCGCCCTGCTTCCTCGTGGCAGCCTGTGATTGGTCGTGGCCAAATATATAAACCAGAGCCCGCGTAAATAAACCAGCAGTTAACTGTCGTCCACAAAAGCGTCTCCTGTCTCCTGTTTCATTGGAGCTGCGCCGGTCAGGTGAGCAGAGGACAAGTGACAAGATCCATAGATTAGGGAACATGTCCGCTGTCAACACTCTCTAAGGAGGTTGTTACCAATGAGATGTTGTCTTGCATTACAATGCACAAGGGTGATCCACAGTTCCACTGTGTGGGAGAACTGAGGCTTAACTGAAGATTGAGTTACCAGATTAACAAGCATTGTTCCCCATTGATCATCAAGGACAAACAACACCGGGATTCAGTGTATCCAGTGTAGTACTCACAAACTCATCTCAGCTATCCAAGAAATACTCTTTATTTCACTTTAAGAAAATTAGGGAAATAATCTCGATATGGTGTCACAAATCTCTAATGCAAGCTCTCTGTAGTCTGAGGCAGGAGGATCATGAGTTTAAGGCCAGCATGAACTACACAGCCAGACCCTGATTGAAACAGAAAGAAAAAGAGAAAGAAAGAAAGAACCAACAAGCTGGGGATATAATAGCTTAGTGATAGAGCACTCCTGGGCAAGATTCCCAAAAGTACAAAACATAAAATAAAATTTAGGAAAAATATAACTGAAAATAAAAACAATCTTCTCTGAGTCCAGAAATTCTCTCCACCATGGAAATAGAGAAGGAAAGCACTTTTTAAAAATAAAATGAAAATGTTAAATCAGAATATGATGAGCAATAGAAACAATCTGCTAAGAGATTGAAAACAGAGGGAAAATATTCTACTTTTTCCCCTGGCTAAGAATTGAACCCTAGACCTTTGCACTAAGTGAACTCCCAGCCCTTTTTATTTTATTTTTACTTCTCTAGCTCTAACCCATACCGGAAAGAAACCATATAAATGTGAACTGTGTGACAAAGTCTTTAGTCAGAATTCCCATCTTTCAAGTCACCAGAGAATTCTTTCGGGGGAGAAACCTAACAAATGTAAAGAGTGTGGGAAAGCCTTCCATGTACATTCTAGCCTAACTTACCATCAGGTAATTCATAGTGAAGAAAAACCTTACAAGTGTAGGGAGTGTAGCAAGACTTATCAAGCTGCTCCACTTTAGACATTATGAAAAAGTACACACTGAAATGAAGCCTTATAGATGCATAGAATGTGGCAAGTCCTATAGATATTGGTCTGACAGTGCTCAAAGTATTTCTTGTGGCAAGAAACTTTAAGGATGTGATGAGTGTGACAAGACCTTTAACCAGGGCTCCCATCTCAATACATAACATAATGTACTGGAGAAAAACCAGTGCAATGCATGTAGCAAGGTTTTCAGTCACAGTTAACACCTTCTGAATCAGAATTCATACTGGAGAGAAGCCTTGGAAATGTAATCAGTGTGGTAAAGCCTTTAATGTGCATTAATGTATAACTAAACAGCTGTTTCATAGTGGAGAAAGCTTACAAATGCAGTGAATGTAGTAAGGCTTTGAACAGGATCACACCATAAATTTATGAGAAAATTCATATTGGGGAGAAGTCATGTAAATGTATTGAATGTAGCAAGATGTTTAGGTGGTTTGACCACAGGATTCACCAAAGAATTCATTCAGAGGAGAAACCTTACAGATGCAGTGAGCTTGATAAAGCCTTTACTAAGGCCCCACAACTCACTAATCAGATAATCTATACTGGAGAGAATGTTACAAATGTACTGAACATAGCAGAACGCTTTAAGTATGGCCCTAAACTCAAAGTTCACCAGGTCCAAATGGCAACTAATATCCCAAAGTTTCAATGTTTTTCTCACTACTTGTTAGGTATAAGAATATACATCTTGGGGAGAAATCTGTAACTGCATTGTGTATGGCAAAAAATTTTTACCTCAAGATCTAAATTTGAGGAATTTCAAAGAATTGTACTGGAAGTAAACCTTGTGAATGCAATGACAAAACCTTTACCATGAGTAACATGCGATGTGACATTAGGGAGTCTTAAAGAGAAACCATGTAAGTGTATGTGGCAGACACTTTACTTAGATTTCACACTATACTAGACATCAGAGTGTAGATCTGAGAAAGATCTCACAAAAGTGATTCACACATTAGTACATTCAGCTGATAACACCATAGCATCAGGAAAGTCATCCTAGAGATCAAACACTCAACTGTAATAAAATTGGAAAAGCTTTCCTAAAAAATTAAACATCCAAACTGGGGGTTTAGCTCAGAGGCATAAGTACCTGCCTGGCTAGCACAGGTACTGTGCTGAGTTCGATCACTAGTACCAAAATAAAACAAACAACAGCAATCCCTTTGTTATGAGAGAATTTATACAAGGCAACCCATAAATGTGTTTAACATGGACAGTAATGTAGTATAGCTAACAGTAAAATTTTAAACCAATTCTCACAACTGACTACAGATTGTAGAATTCGTATGAAGAATAATAAGGAAATAACACATTCATATTTTAATGGTGGAAGAAAAGGATGGTAAATTTTAAATTCCTGTATTGCATCTTACTATTATGAGGTAGAAGTTGATGTAGACCTCTAGGCCATCAACAATGTCAGATAGGGCCACCGTGTGTCATACAAAAGGATTTTTCTACCAGTTGATTGTAATAGCTATGCCTATGCAGGACATTAAGACAACTATTTATGATAGAATAGATTACTAGAATATGCTTATTGATAGAAGTAATGCAGGGAAAATAATGGTCACCCATTTTTCAGTGGTAATAATTGTTGAATCCCAAGGATTAATGAAAAGTTAGTGTTAATTGTGAAAATTAAGGAAGTGTCAAAAGTTTAA